ACAAATCACAGCTGTACAACCGTTGATATATAAAGTGTCAAAGACTCGCCTGCTGATATGGCATATGTCATTTTGAATACTCTCTATTTAGGTTTAGATAGCTATTTTGTTATAAATACTGACTCATTTCATCTTTACTTTATGATTATTTTTTTTTTATTTTTTTTTTTTTTGGGAACGTCCCTAGACAAAATCGAAAATGGTATAGCATAATTGTCTTCACCAAACATTTTTAAATGACCTGGAATCAAAAATGAATATCTAAAACTCAATTTCTGCTAAACCGGAAGTGTGCCATTGCATAATGTGCAAATATTTTGCATCAAATCTGTAGGGCTTATTTATGAACCGATTTACCTGAAATTTTCTTTAATATGTGCATTGTTATAAGACGTATCTGGTGAGGCTAAAATAAATTCAAAAAATATTTTTGTCAAAAAAATTTGAATCCAAAATTTTCAAAAAAGCTCAAAATTTCTAACTCAGCCGCTAATTATCCGATTGATCTGAAATTCACAGGACATATACAGAATGTCCATACAAATAAATTTATACAATCAAAATTTTTATATCACTTCTGGTTTTTGCGTGATCACTTCCGGTTTTTTTAAATCACGCCTGGCACCCCCACTTCCGGTGTAAATTTCAGATGTTGGCAAAAACCATATATATTGTCTGTCAGTCATAATTAGAATGCAATTAGCAGAAAAAATCCAAACCGGAAGTGATGCATAAGCCGTCGCCTCGGACTGACCCATTTTGGCAAAAAATTAATTAGTCCTCCATTTTTTATCCGATTTTTATGATTTTGGTGTCTATTAAAACCTTGTAACCTTGTCTACAGTTTGATGGAACAGAATTTTGAATTTCGAATAGGAATTTTTTTTATATTCGTTTGAATTTTTTGAAAATTCAAAAGGCCACACCATGTGACCTTGACCTTCGATGACCTTGAAAATTTCACTGTAGGATGTTCCTGACCTCAGCTATCCACAGATGTACTCATATTGGTTGAAAAATATTAACTTCCGGTTTAATAGCCATTCAAAAATTAACATTTTTAACAACTTTGGACGGCTGTATGACCTTTTCTAATAAACACAGAAAATTATTTTTTTCAATTTTGTAATTCCCTTTTGATTATCTTTTCAATGATATATGACAATAATCCATTAAAATATGTTTTTAAAATATTGGGTTTTTTTCGACTGAGGGTTCTAACTTACAATATAATTAACTCCTAGCAATATGGTTTGTATATTCAAGATCTACTCAATTTTCTCTTTTCAACGATATGTGACATGGGTGGTTTAATACAAAATTGAATTTATGAAAATAGGCA